ACTGGCGATGTATGGTAGTTGAACTGAGAATGTACTATTGTAGAGAAACTTTTTAGGATTCATTTGAGACATATAAAACGTTTTAATGATGTATAATTACTGAGTTTGATCGCAATGTCCACGTACATTTGGATGGTTAAGTTTTGAGAATCGATTTTTTTGAATTATTAAATATATAGCGACGACAAAAAATGTAAAAAAATCTACAAAAATCTATGTAGATGTTAATGAACATATTTCTGAATTGAAATTTTCTTAATAAATTGATGTTAGAATCAGTTAGTTATTTTTCATCATTTTATAGAAATTCTTATTCTTTATGAATTTGTTCGCAGATTTCTTCCAATTCTTCAAATGTCGTCTTTTAAATAAAAATTCCAGGAAATCTACAGAAAATGTTTGTGAACAATAAGACATTACAGGAACCAGTAACTGAATAAGATTACTTTTTTTCGATGATAATAAGAAGTAAATTTTTACTTTCTCAACCTATTCCTAATCAACTAATTAGTTTACTGTAGAATTTTACTACATTTTTCGTCGTCGTTATTGAATTTTTTTTTAAAAAGCGATTTTCAAAATCATTCCTTGAAAATTAACAATCATGAGGAATTCAACGATTGAATTTGCGCTCTTACTGAACAGATATGCACCGTAAAAACGTCTCAAAGGTATTAAATTATTCCTTAAGAAATTCTCCACAATACTACATTCTCAGTTCAGCAGCAACTACCATACATTACAAAAGTTGATGCATAACTACCATATTCAATAAGATCTCTATCTGAGTAACATTGAGAAAGATATTGATGTTTTTCTATCTAAAAACATGTAATTCTGTTACTTTCCTCATTTTCTCTAAATCAAAGCTGAAAAAGAACCAACAAGAGAAAATAATTAATTATCCGCTAGACAAATAAGGACAATGAAATCTCATTCTTCCTTGACCAGCCAACGATTAAAACGCAGTAGTACCGATGTGAATCGGACATGCCATCTTAAAAATAGAGGCCCCCTAGCGCCTTCAGTTCCTTTTAAACGCTTTTAACACTAGTTTTTTCTAGTTTTATCTAAACAATTTGTGCCCGTTCTTCAGTTATATACTCCTGTATTATTCTACCCCTCCGAGGTTTAGATTATTTTGACCCAAAGGATGTCATCCGTCGTCTTTGCAATAAGGCGAGAGATCAGATATGACCAATTGTTAAATATTTTTCAAATATTTAACCTCCGTACGAGAAACTTTTTTAAGAGTAGAAAATCAATTTGACATACGTGTATTTGTTGTTCTCTGGATTTTAATTCATAATAATTATCAAAGAATTATGATGTAAAGATAGTTATTTCAGAGGTGTACGATTTTTTAGTACTGCAGTGTACTGTCTCTGGGCGGTAAAATAAACACTAGACGGATGTTACAGCCTGACATGGGATCCATTTTAACAAAAAAAATCTTTGAAATATTCTGGTCATATGAAAATTATGTGAATTATCAAAATTATCAAAATTAAATGCTTTTATCCTCCTCGGATACTAGAAGAACACTGATGCATTTACTCTTGTTTACAAACACCGCCCAGAGAATATTTACCCATAGAATACGCAACAGCAATTAACTTTTCTTACCTTATAACCTTGATTAGAATGACCTTTACAAAAATCCCCCTCATCATTAAATGTATATGTTAAGGGGTCTGTACAATTTCCCTGTACGAGGGATGGAACCCCCGGACGCATGAGCTTCACTATGCAGACACAAGCCTCCCAGATTTCCCAGGCAGACCAAGCCTCCACTATGCAGACCGTGCCTCCGTTATGCAGACCGTGCCTCCGCTATGCAGTAAACAAGCCTCCACCATACAGAACAGTTTTTTTTTATTTTGGTTTTTATGTGTAATAAAAAATTCTAACAATTTTTTTTTGACGTAGTGGCATACGAATTTTACGAAAGATTAGAGTTATTTATTGATTGTCATGATTAGAAAAATATATGGACTCATAAAGTGGTTTATAAGATTTATATTAAAACTTTAAACATTTCTTACGCAAAAAGGAAGATATTGGGAGAAATATTTCTGGAGTAATCTTAGTTTATTTGGTTGTAATCTTTGATTTATTAGATACTTGTTGAATTTGAACTACAAAAAAATTGGTATCCCTTTAAATCAAAGATTTTAAAAGATGAAATTCAATTCAATTAAAATTTTTTCTATAAATACTTTCCTTTTCGTGAAAAAAATGTTTAAAAGTTTTATATACCACTTTATTAGACATAATTAGGCACTATTTATGATAATGGATAAATACTTCTCATCTTTGAGAAACCTCTCATGTCACTATGTCGAAAAAGCTGTAAAAAAATCTTTTATTTAAACTTAAAACACAAGTTTAAAAAAACCTCCTGTATGACTCTGACATATTTTGATGTATTGCGCATGCTCATTACTGCATAGTTGAGGCTCGGTCTGGCTAGCCAATCTGGGAGGCTCCTGTCTGCAAAGCAGAGGCTCATGGCGTCCAGGGGTTTTCATCCCTTCCTGTATAAACTGTCTATCAGAATTCTATACTCTAACCTTTCTCCGGTTCTTTGCCTCTATGAGCTCTTTGTACTTTATAGCATAATCGATCTTTTAACTGTATTTATCGGGAAATATCAATGAAGTTGATGTAATTAATCGTGAGCAAACCATTCTCAAACTTATGTTTTAAAAAAGAAGACTTACCCCCCCCCCCATTTCTCCGAAAAAATATTTTACTTGAGATGCAAGGCCCAAATTTCTAAAATGTCAAAATCTAAAAGGAGAAATATGTCCAAACTCAAGATGGAAAATTCAATAAGGTAATATGATTGATTGGAGGATGGAAAACTTTATTCTTTAAAAAACTGTACACCTGTACATCGTGCACCCGTACACCTGTACATTCGTACACCTGTACACATGTACACATGTACACATGTAACCCGAACACCTATACACTTGTTAACCAGTTTCCTGTACACCTGTACACCTGTACACCTGTACACCTGTTCACTTGTACACCTGTACACATGTACACATGTATACCTGTACACATGTACACCTGTACGCCTGTACGCCTGTACACCTGTACACCTGACTGTACAAATTACTGAAAAATTTATACCACACTCAAAACTATAAAACTGGTTTATGTAAAGTGAACAGTACAGTGTACACCTATGTGCAACGGTAAAAGGGTTCACCACTGTGTAATAACTTATTGTAGACCACTGACCGCTGTTATACTACAACTTTAACTAGCATCTTAAATATCCTAACTTCCCATCCTTCTCAACCATATTTTGTTCATGCAAAGTGAGTCTTTTGAGATAAGACTTGAACCTCCAAGGGGTTGTATGTAAAATTCTAGGACAATCTGTAGAATCTGTAGAAATTTTTTAGGGAAACATTTTGAAGGCAACAAAATATTTGTGTTGTCTTCAAATTAAATTTAACAAATACAATGTACCAGAGGAGAATTACTTGAAATTTTGCATACAATCCCTTTTTGTGCAGAACAAATTAGTACAATGGACAGTGGACAGTGGACAATAGACAGGCTATACGAGTTCTTTGCGACAATTTTCCCTGGTTTTTTCGATTTTTTGGAAATATTTGATTTTATTCTAAAACTAAAAATAACTGATCAATTCCTCGTCTTATGATTATTTTAAATTCCTTATTTGTTAAATAAAAAACTAGTGCTAGCATGCTTGCCTTTAGCTAAACCTGGTGAAAGCATGCATTATTTTAACTATAAAGCACGTGCAATAATATTCAGAAATACTGTTTGGTTCCATTTTTTATTTTCTCAAAAATAATTTTTTTCAGATCGATTAATTTCAAAGATCCTGAAAAAAAATCTTGATTGATTTCAAGAATTTAAAAATTCATTCTTGAATGTACTGACAGTACTGATATATCTTCCGTGCTAGCTTTCTCATCTTATTTAATTTTTATCATGAAATATATTCAGATTCCAGGAGAACAAATTTAAATTAAAGATTTTCCGAATCTAATGTTCTTTTTAAATTCTACAGGGTATCTTTTTAAATATAGCCTGTAGTTGACCAGAGAGTAAATTAAAACCGATTTTAATTAAAAATATTAAGAAAGTGCTTTCTACTTTTTAAAAAAAAACACTGTAGTTTATAGATAAATATTGCACTAAGGTTGTAAAGTTGAAAAAAAGTAGATAAGGAAAATATAATAAAATTTGACAAAAGTGACATTTGGTGTCAAATTTTCTTTGCCTTAAGTTATTTTGTTCTTTTGAAATTCTTGAACTATTCAATTCACTTTATCTTATATGTACACAGTACACTAAACAAGATTCTATGTACACAGTACACTAAACAAGATTTCTGAATATTGTTAAACTAAATAAATTAGGAAAAGTATTCAAGAGTTTAGAATTTAGCATGCACATTCAATTTGAGATGCATAATTTGTTGTTCTTTAACATTGTTACGATTTGTTAGCTGTTAATTGTTAGAAAATTACTGATTAGTGAGTATAGAGTAGAAAAAGAATTATTATAATATACATTTTTTTTTCATTCTGTTTTTATTTTACAGAATTATTACCTGTAGTTAGCTACTATGATGGATATGGGAGGATTCTTATTTCTTGTTAAAGTTAGCTACTTGGATGGACATGGGAGAATACCTGTTAATTTCATCTACTATGATAGATATGGAAGGATACCTGTTACAGTTGGTTGCTATGATGGATATGGGAGGATACCTGTTAAAGTTAGCTACTATGATGGATATGGGAGGATACCTGTTAATGTCTGCTACTATGATGGATATATGAGGATACCTGTTAATGTCTGCTACTATGATGGATATGGAAGGATACCCGTTAATGTCAGCTACTATGATGGATATGGGAGGATACCTGTTAATGTCAGCTACTATGATGGATATGGGAGGATACCTGTTAATGTCAGCTGCTATGATGGATATGGGAGGATACCTGTTAAAGTTAGCTACTATGATGGGAATGGGAAGGGTAATGCACAGGACTCCACAGATTGCACAAAGGGAAGCAACAAGTTTTCCAGCTGCAGTCTTAGGAGCTATATCTCCGTATCCTAGAAAAATATAGTTTAGGAGCTATATCTCCATATCCTAGATAAATGTAGTTTAGGAGCTAGATCTTCATATCCTAGGTAAATGTAGTCTAGGAGCTATATCTCCATATCCTGGATAAATGTAGTTAGGAGCTATATCTCCATATCCTAGATAAATGTAGTTAAGGAGCTATATCTTCATATCCTAGATAAATGTAGTTAGGAGCTATATCTCCATATCCTAGATAAATGTAGTTCAGGAGCTATATCTCCATTTCCTAGATAAAAGTAGTTTAGGAGCTATATCTTCATATCCTAAATAAATGTAGTTTAGGAGCTATATCTCCATATCCTAGATAAATGTAGTTTAGGATCTTTATCTTCATATTCTAGATAAGTGTAGTTTAGGAGCTTTATCTTTATATCCTAGATAAATGTAGTTTAGGAGCTATATCTTTATATCCTAGATAAATGTAGTTTAGGATCTTTATCTTTATATCCTAGATAGATGTAGTTTAGGAGCTTTATCTTTATATCCTAGATAAATGTAGTTTATGTGCTTTATCTTTATATCCTAGATAAATGTAGTTAGGAGCTATATCTTCATATTCTAGATAAATGTAGTTTAGGAGCTATATCTCCATATTCTAGATAAATATGATTTAGAAGCTATGTCTGAATAAACTAGACAAATGTAGTTTTAACTCTCGACACTTATTAAGAGATTTAAATAAAACATTTTAATTACATTTAAAATATTAAAATCCAACGGATTTTTTTTTCAGATGTAAAAACTAGAGTTTTTTCAAACATCCTTGTTTTTAGATTGAATTCTAAAGTTCCACGAATTCGTAATAGATTGTTAATTTCTTTCTCTAGATTAAAAAAAATATCTTTTTTATTGTAAAAAAGAGAAAGATTTTTCACCTACAAATTAATGTCGAAACCGTGACATTCACCCCCCCTCCTTCTCCCCTGAAAAAAGCTATTAACCTGTGCTTGTCATTGTAATGATTGCCCAGTATAAGGTTTGTGGAAGAGTGTAGAACATTGTATCCGGTTCATCTTTCTCCAGTGCATAGGCTAGTCCAGCAAATATTAGCATTCCCATACTCACAGTCATACTCAACAATAACAGCTCTCTAAATAGTGGAAACTAATATTAGCATTCCCATACTCACAGTCATACTCAACAATAACAGCTCTCTGAATAGTGGAAACTAATATTAGCATTCCCATACTCATGTTCATACTCAACAATAACAGCTCCCTTAATAGTGGAAACTAATATTAGCATTCCCATACTCATGGTTATACTCAACAATAACAGCTCCCTTAATAGTGGAAACTAATATCAGCATTCCCATACTCATGGTCATACTCAACAATAACAGCTCTCTGAATAGTTTCAACAAATGATTCGTATTCCTATTCTACAGTTTTCTGGTTATCACTGTATTTTAAATCGGACAGTGCCATGTTTACATTTCATGGATTGCTACAGTATAGCACACTTATTCACATTTCTCCCCTTCATGCATTGACAAATATAAGAAGATAACCCGACTGAAAGGGACTGTAAGCGTTATTTCAATTGACCTTTCATTGCCATCTTTCAAATTAGGGGTCACTTAAAATTGCTTTTACAGTCCCTTTAAGCTTCAGTAGAAGAGTTTAATTAGAAATTATTCAAATCTAATTATTTTTGAAAACCCCTGTGGCAAACTCATTAAACTAATGAGCATGATATTCAGCTCGTTAGCTCCTGCAAAAGTAAGACTAATTCCACCAAATATATATAATTGTAAATAAAATATGTCAATTAGAAAAAGCTGGGATTTGTGAGTGGGCGGTAGGAAGGGGAGATATGACGGGAATATGGTGAATAAAGGGACTAGAGACTTTATTTTTTTTTGATCCTCCATTTATAAACCGTCATGTCAGATCAAAACAATTCTCCTTAAACTTAAATGACGAATGAGATATCCTTTTTGTCTAATTGAAACTTGATTATTTTAAATACATATTTATGCTACAAAAAATTTAAGACATTTGCAGAACTCGGCATCTTTTTAAAAGATACAGAAAAATGAAGATTATTTCCTCATTGTCGATCAGATAGAGGTTTAAAGGGGACCGTTGTGAACCGAAAGTGACCCTCTTTGAATGGAATGTCTTTTGAAATAATACATATACAGTATTTTACATTTATTGCATGAAAACGAGCTGCTGCGTCGATTTTTCACTGGTCGGTACGTATGAATGCAAATACGATACAGTAGACCGGTTTGGATCATGCAACGATTAGCGCCATTTGATTTTGCTGGATCAATTTTCAAAGGAATATCAATAAAGACTATTTTAGTGAGGTATATTTGTTTACTAAGCTATTTAAAGACAATTTAATACCGCCTATTTGCAATTTATGATAATGGGCCTCCTTAAAATTCAACTTATCAAGTGATATGGGTCTTACTGTATACTCTTTTAAGATGATTAAATGTTTTAAATTTGCTACCAATTAAGACACAAGTTAAAAATCGATGAGAATTTCGCCATTTTCTTGTATTTCTAAAAACTAACCTGTGACTATTTCTAAGTGTTGTTCCCAATGTTTTAAGTCCTGTGATATGTCTGGATAGTTTAAATATTCTTAAAATCCTGAGAATTCTGAATATTTGGGCCGCCTTTGCGATATACTCAATAGAGTACTTGGAGGAGAGAAGGTTGAGGACCAGAGAGAAGTAGAAGGGTAGAATTCCAAGTAAATCTATTATATTCAAGAACGAAACAAGAAACTCCATCTAAACAAAATAGTGCTATAAAATTTTTTTATTAATTATTTTCAGTGACCTACAGGGTTTTACACAAAGGATGAAACTTCAGCGACGATTGTGCAAAATTTATTAGAATTTTTCTTCCATTCACGCCAAACGGTTCCCTGCAACTGTAAATACCATCTTCTATAGCATGATCTATTTTGTCATAATACTCTGTGTTGTTGGCAAAGAACTAAATTTAGCCTTTAAATCGTTGAATTTAACCGCAAATTAAGACGTCATTACGTCGTATGACGTTTTATATCTTAAGGTAATAATTTTTGTGCGAAATGAAAGGTCACTGAAATACTTAAAATAAATACTATTAATAAATTTGAATGTTGTCAGTGTGCTGTGTACTATGTAGTTTACCTTGTGATGAGTTACAATGAACCGTATAAGATACTGTTAGTTTACCTTGTGTGGAACTACAACGAACCATATAAGATGCTGTGTAGTTTACCTTGTGTGGAGCTACAATGAACCATTTTAGATACTGTTTAGTTTACCTTGTGTGGAACTACAATGAACCGAATAAGATACTGTGTAGTTTACCTTGTGTGGAACTACAATGAACCATATAAGATACTGTGTAGTTTACCTTGTGTGGAGCTACAATGGACCGTATAAGATACTGTGTAGTTTACCTTGTGTGGAACTACAATGAACCGTATAAGGTACTGTGTAGTTTACCTTGTGCAGAGCTACAACGAACCATATAAGATACTGTGTAGTTTACCTCGTGTGGAGCTGCAATGAACCGTATAAGGTACTGTGTAGTTTACCTTGTGCAGAGCTACAACGAACCATATAAGATACTGTGTAGTTTACCTTGTGTGGAGCTACAATGAACCATATAAGGTACTGTTTAGTTTACCTTGTGTGGAGCTACAATGAACCGTATAAGGTACTCTAACGTGAACCAACCGACGAAAATTGCTTCTGTCACCCGAAAAAAATAATTTTCTTCTTCATTTGGTTTCTCCTAAAATAAATGAATTAATGCCCAATATCATTGTTTTCTAGAGCACAAAATAAAACAAAAACAGTTGGTCCATTTGATTGTTCAAAGTACACAAAACGACAGTTGGTCCAGTTGACATGTTTTAATTTTTTTGTTTTATACACTAAAGTTTGGTCCCAAAATAATACTAGTACACAAAAAAGTTTGTATGAGGTTTTGTCGTCTTTGGTTTAGAAAAAATGGTTTCGTATTGATACGAAATTGAGGCATAATTTCCTGCAACAAAAGTCATTTCGTTTAAAAACACGAAACTGTTACGCTAGAGAATCTACTGTTTCGTGGAAACCCTAGTTATCACACAAAATATTATCTATATCTAATAATACAGGATTAAAAACTTTCAGTTTGTATCAATAAAATTAAAATTAATATTTTTTTTATCAATTTATTAAATACTAGCTGAAGCGCCCGGCGTTGCCCGTACAAATTTTAGTTACACTTGAAAATAATTTGAATTTTGAAGAAACAAAATTGATATATATATATATAATCGAAGAGCTTTATTATTTAGACTAGCTGAAGTGCCTGGCGTTGACCTTGCAATTTTTTAAAGCCTATGTTACCCTGCAGGGTACCCATGGGTTTTCTAAAAAAATTTCAGCCAATTTGGTCCAGTCGTTTGGCCAGCTATAGCTATCATATAAATAAATGAACATAGAGCTTTCTTATATAGAGATGGATGATAGATAGGATTTTAAAAGGTTTAGAACGGTTCTAGGTACGTTTATCTATTACACAAAACTATCACTAAATAATAGAGAAAGTTGTCGAACAATAGAATGTTTGACGATTGACAAGATTTTTAATCTTTCTGCATAGACAAAGGAATTGATTACTCTCTTTGCTATCTGATGGTGTAAACTTTGATATTCTATACTTTAGCAAGTTGACTTACAAAATTTAAGTTAAGTGGTAGCAAAGGTCATCATGTTGCAAAGATATAAAGATAAGAAAAGTAGATTCCTAGTTCCTAGTTTCTTTAAAAAATTAGAATTATGGACATAAAAGGTTTTTACTAATTGTCGACCCAGGAACTTAAATAAAAAATATTAATAATTACAAAACGAATTTGCGATCCTGCATTTATCCCCTTCAAAACTTCACAAAAAAACGTTTATTTATATTCAACCCTCTTTTATCTTGGTTAGTTCTCTATTCCCACGGAGCAGAAAGTTTCAGAATCAATATTCTTAAGTTTTAGAATAGATGTTATCAATATTTTATTGGGAGAAATTAAAATTTAACTTTTAAAAAGTTGGATTTTCTGTAATTCAAACTAATGTGCAGAGTGTTTCACGAAACATTGTTCAATGTTCAGACCTGGCAATTTTAAATTGTGGTCTGGGTTTTTTGGACTTCTTAAGTCATATATCAACATTATTATTATAAAGATTATAAAGATATATTCACACACAAAGATATAAATGCATGTATAAATGGTGTAGTTTTTAAATAAATTTTTGAATATATATAGCTTTACAAAAGAAAAAAGAAAAATATGCAAAATTATTCACAAATAGGGGACATTGATCATTACTCATTACATAACATATTTATCATTGCTGCAGTTATTACGTAATCATCGAATCCTTCAACATATAAATTATTCATTCTTGTATTTAAAAGTTCTTGTAAAACCGGAACTTTCCATGCATGTTCCAATGGGACATCAAAATATTTCATTAGTTTCTTAAATAACATTTTATTAAGATCAGAAAGATGTACAGAACAATCATTTGCAATGGAAAATAAATTTCTGCCAAGAACTGTGTTAAGGTCATTTTTTCATAAATTAGAAAGAAATCTATGTTGCAAAAATATAGGGATTATAGATTTAAAAAGATTTAAAAAATAAAAACATAAATTTTATCAATTTTTATTCGACATAAAATGAACTTTTCTGTACAATGTTCACACAAAATACAGTGTTCAACATCAATGGAAATTAAAGCTCAGAACTTGCTTCAATAGTCTCATAGTAAGACACACATCTACTACCTAACATCGTTTTTACATGTAAACATTGTGAAATATTTTCAATCAAGTACCTATGCGTATCTCTAGGTACATTAAAAAGAATTCTAATAGCAGTATTCCATGCTGTATACAATTTCGAACACAAATTTAGCCAAAATTGTCTAAAACAACGAAATTTCCAACCTCTAGTAATTTTGAAAGAATACAAAAGGCAGACCACGTTTAGAAAATTCCAGGATTAGTATTATGTAAACATTGCTTCAAAAAGCTCGCTTGTAAAATTAGGTTTACAAACGAATCCGATAAATTATGTCAAGAGCAAAGACGATTTTCCCGTCGGTTCTCAACAGCCATGTTTCGTAGGACACCCTGTATAATCTTTAATATGTGTTGATGAAATTAATTAAGTTAGACGTTAAATACCAAATCATGGTTACAAGTTAAACAACAAGGTAATAGATTTGAATCTCTGTAAACTAAAATACGCACAGCCTAATGGGCCAAAATCTTTAATTAGGATTTTCCTATATACTTCGTTTAAATTGATCAGATAGATAGAAAAATATCCAGGACTAAAAAATATATTAGTGGGTTGGCTAGATAAAACTAACTAGGAGAACTGATCCCAAATATCGCTATTCCCAAATGTAAATAACTGTAATTGGTATTCTGCATAAATCCCAAAGTATAATTGTTCCTATAACTTGTCAATTTAAACAGACATTTTTTTTAGAAAGATTAGATTTGGTTTAGACACATGCATGGATAGTTGGACTTTTAGGAAATATCAAATTGAAATATTTATTTTATTTTATTTATTTTCGTAAACGTACACAATTTAAATAATTGGTACAATTAAACAGAAGAAGAAAAAAGTATATATCAAGAATGAATACAAATACAAGAACAAAATCATACTGTAATAAAAAATTAATAATATCTTCAAGCTCAGCTTGGTCAACTCCATTCATAACAATCTTATTGTTTGTTAAAATAAAAAAATGTACTTTCATAATACATTTTCCATGTCTAGTTTTCAGTTTCTAAAAATTTATGGTTAGATGAGCTAAGAGATTTATAAAGACTCCGTTGTTAATGTACAGAAAGTACACATAGTCATAGCTTTGAATATCAAAGGTTTAAAGACTCAGAATCTAGGGATTAAGAAACTAGATTTGGTTTCTTTATGGAATATTCATCCATGTGGTTTTAGATTAAATGTATTTTTGTTATAGTAGAGAGTGATGCATATAGAAACTATTAGGTTAAGTATTCAGAACTGTTAATTCACTTCCTTAATGGGTTTCAGTGTTCAAATTGTAAAGTTGAGAATAAGAAAATTAAGTTCTGAGTTCTCAGATTTAGATTTTTATCTCAAATATGGACGAATATCCCAAAAACTTTTAGTAAAGTTTGATGGAACCTAGAAAAATGAAAACTGCTCAGAGAGAGAACGAGTTTGGTGTTGGGGGGGGGGGGGTGAGGGACGAAATAATAAAATCTATAAATTTATGAAAAACATATTTTCACTCTGCGATACACACTTGCCTATACATTTACAAGAAAAGAATTGTCTCTGCTAATCTAAATAATCATGTGAGAAAAAGTAACATTTTAAATGGAAAACGAATAAAAGGATTCGAAAAGCAGCCTCTTTAATCGTTTAAGAGGATAAGTTAAAAAAGCTAGAGTCCCTTCAAATAACATTTTCTATAAAAGTTTTGTTAATTTTGGGCCTCAGAAATATCTTTTAGATGACTCAGTTGTTTTCCGAATAAAATAAAATGGGGCATTATCAGTTTTTGAAAAATTGAACAAGCCCTTGGGCTAAAAAATACATTTCATATCTTCTTTGGCATGCTCTACGGTTATTTTCTAATTATTACGATTCAGGGACACCAGAAAGAAAGGTTTATTAGCTTGGTGCCCCTGGTCTAATTATATTTTAGGGGCACCAGGGAGAAGGGTTTTATTTAAAGTTTGGTGCCCCTGGTATAATTATTTTTTAGGAGCACCATGAGGAAGGGTTTATTAGTTTGGTGCCCCTGGTCTAATTATTGTTAAGGGACACCAGGAAGAAGGGTTTATTAGCTTGGTGCCCCTGGTCTAAATATTGTTAAGGGACACCAGGAAGAAAGGTTTATTAGCTTGTTGCCCCTGGTCTAAATATTGTTAAGGGACACCAGGAAGAAGGGTTCATTAGCTTGGTGCCCCCCCCCTGGTCTAATTATATTTTAGGGGCACAAGGGAGGGTTTTATTTATAGTTTGGTGCCCCTGGTCTAATTATTTTTTAGGGGCATCAGGAAGAAGGGTTTATTAGCTTGGTGCCCCTGGTCTAAATATATTGTTTAGGGGCACCAACTATAAAGGTTAAAGTTCTTGGTGCCCCTGGTCTTTAGGATACAGAGGTAACACCCCCTACCTCAATAGTGTCTACACCCCTGGTAAACTCCTGAATATAGAATTCTTTTCATTTTTACCCAAGAATTAAACAAACAATAAAAAAGATCCAAGCTAAATGTAACAAGTAACGTTTGAAAAAATTTTAAATCTTTTAAAAAGTTTGAATGAAAATTATCGATAATTACTGTAGTTTTCTAAAAAAAATAGTTGTATAGACGTGTCCTCAGAACTACTATAGCACAAATCTTTCCGAATAATTAGAAAAGATTGATTAGGAATAAAAAAGCAGTTGATTACAGAATGTTGATTACAGAATGTTGATTACAGGCTTTTGATTACAGAATGATAATTGAGAGCCTTAAGAATCGTCGTTGATCGTTCATGCTCTGTAATAACAATATTCGTATTAATAGAGTTGTATGATTTTTAGACTTTCCATAATCATAAAATCTTCGAAAGTATTTTTAAGCCACAATTTGTCATTAGTTAGCCATCAACGATCAAAGTAGAACTTCAAGTCTCTTGGGACATTAGGGTTAACATTAAAGGTGAGTCATTTTCTTTACTAAATCCCAACCATCGTTAGACGAGGGAAGGAATGCCAGCCACAACAATTTCTAATCCGAGCCACATTCTCCTCATTTAACGTCCGAGCCACCTCGGAATCCTCGTACTTCGATTATTATGTGTTTAAAAGTTTCCAATTCTCGAAGATTAAAGTATTTTTAAAAAATCTGGTCACGTTAGTGCATAAAATATGGATGTACTTAAGTATTGCAATGATTACATCATGTTGGAATCTTCAAACCAATGAGTATGATGTCAAACTTTAGTTTAAATCTTTTCTGCCTCCTTAATGGCTAACCATTGCGATATAAAGTAAATAGCAAAATATTGGCATACCTATGCCAATAACTTTCCCCATGGAACCACCCGGAAAAATTTTATGGTTTTCTCTATAATTAACAAAAAAGATTGAAGTCCTATACATTTGGAATTATTTACTACACCAGGAAGATTTTTAAAGACATTTTAACTTGAAAACCTTAATTCAATTGATTTTTTTTTTCGATTTACAAAAATTCAATATTTCATTTGCCCTAACTTGGCTCGATTCTTAAAAAAATGTAGCTGGGAAGATTAGACATTTTTGAAAAATAATATTGAAAGGACGAGGATTTCGATGTGGCTCGGACGAGAAAATGAGGAGAATGTGGCTCGGTCGAGAAATTGTTGTGGTTGGCCTACCTCCCCTCACTAGACGATTCTGCGACTTAAATGATTGTAGACGTGATCTATTTAGTGGCATGTCAGATTCACAACGGTACCCGTACATTGTTTGTTGATTTATTTATATTTTGTAGATCTAACCTGGAACTCTGGAACTGTTGAGAGGATTAACATTATTATAGATGCCAGCAGGAACATAGAGCTAACTATCACCAACACCTGCACACAATACAACTGATTACTCGCTACAAATCCTATATCTTTACAACCTAATAGTTTGATAATTCAAACGTTGTCTACTTGGTCTAATTCATTGCTTAAAATGTCAATATTTACGACAACAGGTTGCAGAGATAAAAGGATTATATTTCATATTTATGTTCTGTTTCTTTGATACATTATTTTTCTTATTATTCGCGTTCAGGTTGAGCTCTGACTCTAGGGATCCCGTTGATGATTGTTTTGTAATAATAGAACATGCCAAGCAATTAGGAACTTATTTACTATTTTTATACAGAGTTACCCACAAAGGAGGAAACTTCAGGGACGACTGTACGGAATTTATATCTTTGGGATTGTTAATTTTTTTTGCTGTGAGATAAGTGGCCAAATTTAGAAAAAAATAAATGTGGTAAGAAAAGTGGCTGAGAGCGCCATAAATTCCTCTATAACAAAAAGAACGGACAACTTAAAAATTCACTATTAACTTGTTCTAAAAGTTGAGTGTACACATATATTGTTTAACAATTGTAACATAAAGGAATACGAATCGGACAGGGGTCTTTATTTTTAAAAAAGATTTTTAGTGTTCATATGGGGGGGGGGCATGGGGTGTCGGAAGGGTTCATTAGTAGCACTAATAATTTTGTTTATATTCTTTCCAGAATCCATCACACACTTTCTTTTCAAACAAAACTCTTAAGGTTCCTGGTATATTTTCCTTAGTTCCAATCTAGAGAACGTGCGGAACCAATTTGGTTTGGATTGATTAGTATGTTTACTATTGCAAGGGATCAGTATATAGGATAATGTAAACACAGCTTGCTGGATGAGAAATCATGGATGTAAGATAATGCTTGATTACTTTCACTTAATCAACATTGGTCATCATTACAGCCTTTCAAGTACATTCAATAAGAAATGACAGGGTCTAAAAGTGGAAAAGCAAGTTTGGGTAAGTGGTAAAAGGAAAAAAAGGGGTCGAGAAGTTCGGCATATGATAGAGAGGGACTGAGAAGTGCGACAAAGGAAAGATTGGGACTGAGAATTGCGGCAAATGAAAGTGAGGGACTGAGAAGTGCGGCAAATGGTAGAGAGGGACTGAGAAGTGCGAAAAATGAAAGGGAGGGACTGAGAAGTGCGGCAAATGAAAGGGAGGGACTGAGAAGTGCGGCAAATGATAGAGAGGGACTGAGAAGTGCGGCAAATGATAGAGAGGAACTGAGAAGTGCGAAAAAGGAAAGGGAGGGACTGAGAAGTGCGGCAAATGAAAGGTTGGGACTAAGAAGTGCGGCAAAGGAAAGGGAGGGACTGATAAGTGCGGTAAAGGTAAGGTAGAGACCGAACTGAAGTGCGGATTGGAAACGAATAGTTGTAAAGAAGTAATAACTCAGAGTTCTATTTCGAAATATCTACCATCTATAAATATTTTCATGCATTTCACATTTTTTACTGAATTTATTTTTTCGATGCTTTTATCATTGAGCATTTCTTCATGGTGCTAATTAATCTATCCTTCAAGAGGGTATTGTTTTCATTCTTATAATACTAATGGAAAACAAGTTTATACTGGATTAAAATCAAAATATGAGGGTGATATTTTTATCCAAGTCCATACAGTTTATCCCGTCTTAGGTTACCTTGGCTGCTCTAGAAGAGTTTGGATATTCAAACAGTTTCCAGATTGTATTTCTCAGCTTAGCACAGCACATCCCTTCAAACGGATTTATCTAAAAGTTAACATGAAATAATTGAAAAAATCTATTTTTAGAAAATTGATAGAATATGTTAACATAACAACAACTTATATACAAGAAAGAAATGTTCGTCCAGGAAAGATAGATCAGGAACTTTAAGCTTCGAAATACCGTACAGGTTGTACAGTTTGCAAATTTGCATACGGACGGCAAATCGGAACAGTATACCAAACGAATCATCTGCTTCTAATGATATTTTAGTGCAGGAGCATTGGAGGAAACTGTCAAAATTAAACACATATTAAACAACGATATCTTCCAGATTATTGATCAGATAAAGGTTTAAAGAGTATCGATTTTCATTGGGCTTACTCCTCCGCCCCGTTTTACTCTATTTACTCATTTAATCTAGCTAGGGAGTACAGTTCTCTAGTTGGCGTAATTAGAACTTAGTTTCCGGGATACAAATAGAAATATAGAGCTCAGTTTCCTGGATACAAATAGAAATATAGAGCTCAGTTTCCTGGATACAAATAGAAATATAGAGCTCAGTTTCCGGGATACAAATAGAAATATAGAACTCAGTTTCCGGGATACAAATAGAAATAAAGAACTCAGTTTCCGGGATACAAATAGAAATATAGAACTCAGTTTCCAGGATACAGATAGAAATATAGAGCTCAGTTTCCTGGATACAAATAGAAATATAGAACTCAGTTTCCGGGATACAAATAGATATATAGAACTCAGTTTCCAGGATACAAATAGAAATATAGAACTCAGTTTCCAGGATACAAATAGAAATATAGAGCTCAGTTTTCAGGATACAAATAGAAATATAGAACTCAGTTTCCTGGATACAAATAGAAATATAGAACTCAGTTTCCAGGATACAAATAGAAATATAGAGCTCAGTTTCCAGGATACAAATCGAAATATAGAACTCAGTTTCCGGGATACAAATAGAAATATAGAACTCAGTTTCCGAGATACAAATAGAAATAATTTTAGTTCCAAGATTTCTGTCAAAAATGCATCAACTTGTAAAGTTATACTGAACCAAATAAAGGTTCAATAAATGCCTCATTTTCAGGTTTAGTTTATAGCAGGGATATTACTCTTTTATATTCTTTAATATATTTTGTGGACTGATGGGACTCCAAACAGGCAGGATTCATCCTGGTTTTGTATATTAATATGTAGTATCACGTGATATCTTTATAAGATGTGTTAATTGGTAAATCCGTATTCTCTAGGCCGCTAGTTTCGATACATTGTATTCTCTAGGCCGCTAGTTTCGATACATTGTATTCTTATGTAAATATCTTTTTTTTTGCCTTTGACATGGTTTGTGTGATTCACAACAGTACTCTTTAAACCTCTGATGAAGTATCAATTAGTTAGATATCGTCGTTTTTTATAATAATTCAAGGGATACAGTCTGTCAATTTCCATCACTGTCTCTGCAGTAGGAAATTTGTTCTTATCTTACTCATTCATTATAAAGGTTAATTTAACATGATTTATGATTATATATGTCAAGAACAGTAACACTGCTCTAAATTAAAAAAAATTTAGCTAAAATCACGATTAATAATTTCGAGCAATTTTTTAAACGTTTAATGCTAATAAAATTCTCGCAACAAACCGTAAACAAATTTCAGATTTGTAGAAGGGATTTACAAAAAGAATAATTGATAAAAAATTTTTTTTAAATTTTCTTTTCTACCTCATCTTCTTGATCTACTCCATGGTCTGCTATGGGAAGGAGCCACGACGCACGTTGCATGGTGTACGCGCAGCAGGGTTCAAGATGGAGTGCAGATAGTCCCCAGTACTCAAGCTCACCTAGGAAATCTCTAAACCGGAAATCATGTTTTAAACCATTAATTTCCTTTATCATTGTATTTACCTAAAACCCAATTTTGTGTAATTGATAAAAATGTATGTTATTGACCTCTTTTCTAAGAAGATTAATGATCCCATAAAATTCCATTGAATCAATCTTTATCCTATCCCCCCCCCCCCCCCCCCTCCTTCTTCTCCTTCCTCAATTTCAAGGAAATAATTTCCCCCGGGATAAGGAGTTGCTTGGTATAAGTAAGTTTAATGTATGGGTGGAGTACATGATACAAGAATTTATCTTTACTCAAGGATTAAAACTTTTACTAAAGATTGATCACTGTTGAAATTGGCTTCTTACTCTGGTTTATAAATATAATGTGTGTTTGGTGGGTCGTTTTTTCAACCTCCTCGTAGAGCTCAAGGTCTTTTTGGCAAATGAAACCTTTAAGGATTCTAAGAACTTAAAAATTTTTTTTTTTGCTTATTTAGAGAAATTCTGGTTCTTGCACATGCACAGCCATTAATGCCAATCCGTCATAATATTGTTTATTACTCAATAAGCGATTTTACGTAGTAAAATGTACATTTCCAGGGCTACAAAAAACGTTATATATGTAGATGAAACCAAGGGCGTTTCGACACTTAAGAGTCGATTAGGTCTTGAAAGTTAATGCATGATTTTCTTAGATATGTTTAAATCAAATAATTTTACTAGAAGGTTAGACGTATTCTCTTCAGAAGTTTTTCATAAAATATAATTTGTTTAATCCTAGTTTAAGCTGGTTGTGAGGTTGGTAGAGCTGTAAAAAACCTGTTTTCCCCGAGGTTTGGTTAGATAGTGACAATAGGTTAATATATGGAGGAACTTACAACAGGGGATGAGGAGGGAGGCAAATAGAGAAAAAAAAGAAAAACATAAGAAAGGTATTTAATACAGGAGAATAAACAACACAAAACAAATTGAAGTAGAGAAAAGTAAAACAAAAGGGCAGAAATACATGGATACAGGACTTCAAAAGAATAGGAATACACGATACCAGAAGAACACGAGTACATGGATGCAAGACTCCAGAAGAACAGACATATAGGACACAAGAAGAACAGGAGTACATTGATGTAGGACTCCAGAAGAACAGGAGTACATGTCCAAAAGAATAGGAATACAGGACACCAGAAGAACAGGAGTAAATGGATGCAAGACTCCAGAAGAACAGACATATAGGACACCAGAAGAACAGGAGTACATTGATGTAGGACTCCAGAAGAACAGAAATAATGGATACAGGACTCCAGAAGAACAGGCATATAGGACACCAGAAGGACAGGAATATGGGACACCAGAAGGAATATAGGAGATTGGGAATAAATGAAAATAGAAAAACGATGATTCTAAAGATTGGGAAAAGTTAGACAGATAATATGAAAAAGAATAGAAGAACAGTAGAAAAGAAGAAGGTAAGAAAGAGAACATGCATGAAGGAAAACAGAAACACATCAGAAAGGAGAACAGGAGAATATTAGAGGAGGAGAACAGGAGAATATTAGAGCAGAAGAACAGGAATATATGAGAACAAGAATATATGAGAACAAGAATATATGAGAACAAGAATATATGAGAACAAGAATATATGAGAACAAGAATATATGAGAACAAGAATATATGAGAACAAGAATATATGAGAACAAGAATATATGAGAACAAGAATATATGAGAACAAGAATATATGAGAACAAGAATATGGGATAACAGGAGAACAGAAGAACATGAATATGAGAGAACAAGAATATAGGAGAACAGGAATATAGAAGAACAGGAGAACATAATAATACGAGAACAGAGGAACAGGAGAATAGGAGAATAAAGGAATTTAAAATATAAGATCCAGAGCTCTAAAATATAAAATCCCTAGCTAGGAATATAAAATATGAAATTCCTAGCAAGGAATATAAAATATAAAATTCCTAGTTAGGAATATAAAATATAAAATTCCTAGCTAAGATTATAGGAGAGTAAAGGAAAGCAAGGCACATGTTTATCATTTTAAAATATGATTTCCTTGGGCAAACACTCTCTGTCAGATGCAGTTCACCCTTCCTACAGTTCATAGGATTCATGGATTTTAGAAACAAACCCTAACACCCCCCACCCCCATTCTCACATTGAATAGGAAATAAGAAACAAACCTTAAACCTGCTAGCTCTTTTTTCACATTTTTAAGTAAATTAAAAGATGGTTTTAAAAATTTTCTTATTTCTCTTTACCCTTTGAGCCTTCAGATGCTGTATTTTTAATCTAATGATTTCTCAAATGTTTAAACAAAAGAATCAAGATTATTTTCTTCAATTTTGTTTATCTTTGAATGGTTCCTGTATAGTCCAAGAATGTTCTCAAATATCCTCGGTGAACGATCGAAAAAGAATTCTCTTGTTCCCAGAGAGAAAGAATCACAGAGGGATAATATCTCAGCTGAAAAAAATGATTTTTATATAAAAAAGAAATATATAATTTACTTTAGGAAAAATTTGAAACAATATGAAGTTAAACCTCTGAGGGATTCAATGATAAACCAAAGTGTTGACCCTAAGAAAGCTAGTTTTTCTTTTACCAGTTATTAGATTTTCTTTAGCCAGTGTTTAGATTTTCTTTAGCCAGTTTTTAGATTTTCTTTAGCCAGTTTTTAGATTTTCTTTAGCCAGTTTTGAGATTTTCTTTAGCCAGTTTTGAGATTTTCTTCAGCCAGTTTTTTAAATTTTTTTAGCCAGTTTTTAGATTTTTTAAGCCATTTTTTAGATTTTCTTTAGGCAGTTTTTAGATTTTCTTTAGCCAGTTTTTAGATTTTCTGTAGGCAGTTTTTAGAATTGCATTAGCCAGTTTTGAGATTTTTTTTTAGCCAGTTTTTGAATTTTCTTTAGGCAGTTTTTAGATTTTCTTTAGCCAGTTTTGAGATTTTCTTTAGTCAGTTTTAAAATTTTCTTAAGCCAGTTTTGAAATTTTCTTTAGCCAGTTTTTAGATTTTTTTAGCCAGTTTTTAGATTTTTATGCCATTTTTTAGATTTTCTTTAGGCAGTTTTTAGATTTTCTTTAGCCAGTTTTGAGATTTTCTTTAGCCAGTTTTGAGATTTTCTTTAGCCAGTTTTGAGATTTTCTTTAGTCAGTTTTGAGATTTTCTTTAGCCAGTTTTTAGATTTTTTAGCCAGTTTTTAGAATTTTTAAGCCATTTTTTAGATTTCCTTTAGGCAGTTTTTAGATTTTCTTTAGCCAGTTTTTAGATTTTCTGTAGGCAGTTTTGAGATTTTTTTTTAGCCAGTTTTTGAATTTTCTTTAGGCAGTTTTTAGATTTTCTTCAGTCAGTTTTGAAATTTTCTTAAGCCAGTTTTGAAATTTTCTTAAGCCAGTTTTAACATTTTCTTTAGCCAGTTTTTGAAATTTTCTTTAGCCAGTTGTGAGATTTTCTTTAGTCAGTTTTGAAATCTTCTTTTGCCAGTTTTGAGATTTTCTGCCATTTTTGGCTACATTGTTACAATAGAGTTAAATTTGAAAGTGTCGCTCATTTCAGTTTATTTTTTCAGGGACCCCCCCCCCCCCCCCTTCCAGAAAATGAAGACTTATGATGTAATTTCTACACATCTACACATCATAAACACATCTTACTTGTCTCTTATTTTTCTCCGGGATATTGAAAAGCTTAGAACGGGACGTTGTTTTTTTTCAAACTAAATAAAATACTTTATTTTAAAAACAGGGTTAAGTCTCTGCCACAAGCGCCGATTTTATAATTCCTATATCTTTGCAACACAATGTTGTATACTTCTGTTAAATAAAATAATCTGATTTTGAAATGTTTAATGCTTAGACCATCATTTGGTTGCAAAGACACGGTTAAGTTGAATATTTGACGAAGAATCATTTCCTTAAACCCCATCAATTTCCAACCCTAAAGGATGTACTGTACTCCGAGTTAATCCTAGAGAAGTTTGTTCGACAGAGCAAAACTAAACTTTCCCCACGTTTCTTTCATGTTATTCTCAAACTATTTGGTTTATGATGATTAAAGAAATACATAAAATGATTAGATAAACCAGACTTCACAATTTTCCTACAAACTGTTGAAAAACAAATAAAAGAAAGTACATGTGTTTCATAATACTGTAAAATTGAGTTAAGAAAAACATTTAGCTCTACATATATAGCAAAGAATTTAAAACTAAAAAAAAACTGTTTTATTTAATTTCCAAATTGTTTACATGAGAGTTTATAATTCTCATGTTTGATCTCAGTGGTGTTTTGATTTTTGTCATTGATGTTTAAAATTTATTTTATTTTTCTAACCGGGTGTTTTGTAACATTTTATGAATATTTAAAATGACTAATTAGATTTTTTAGAATTAAGAAATTTAATTTGTTTTCAGAAGTAAATGAAAGAAAAAAGAAAGAAAAACAATCTATTATTAGGACTCTTTATAAAAGGGATATTTTAGTCATAATGCAAGACCTAAATAATTTAAAATTTTTCTGAAAATTAGTTTTATGAATATAAAACTGCAGTTTCAGTTATCAGCTAACAAATTATTTTTCTGATATTCAAACATCTTATTTAGCACTTATTTCATACTCCCCCACCCCTCAAAAATCTTATTTTGTAGTTATTTCATACCAGTATATTCCCACTCCCCCCCCCCTCTCAAAAATCTTATTTTGTGCTTATTTCATACAAGTATATTCCCACTACTCCCCCCCCTCTCAAAAATCTTATTTTGTGCTTATTTTATACAAGTATATTCCCACTCCCCCCCTTCTCAAAAATCTTATTTTGTGCTTATTTCATACAAGTATATTCCCACTCCCCTCTCAAAAAAAAGATAAAACGTGAATAATATATAAGTATTCGGTGAAACAAATGTTTTCAAAGTAGAAAAAGAGAAAAAGAAAATTGAGGAATTTATCTTTCGTGAGAAGATCCGTTGAAAACAAGCGAGGTAGATGATACAACTTAGAACTTGTTGAATTGAGAAAGTTTTCGGCAATAAATTATATTTGATATATATATATAACATTACAACTCTTTAAACTAATAAATCTCATGGGTATAATAAAGATAATAAATTGAAACATATCATTTTTTGTTAATTTTATTTAGTTTTTATGTCTATAATTATTAATATTTTGGGCGAGTTCTTGATTTTTAAAAGCCTTTCGTTAAATCATCATTAACGAGATTGTTTCTTTTATTTCAAATAGTTTCGTTTCAATTAGCTATGTTCTATTTTTGAGTTCAAGTTTCTTGAACAACAGTCATAACTGTGTTCGTTATATTTTTGAACGATGTGATGGAAATTCCGAGCGTTCATTGTAAAGACTATCGCGCCAATAACGTTTAGAACTATCAACACAATTAGCTAGATATATAAACTCTATACAGCGATATCCAACGTTGAAAAGGTGTGCACACTGTACACTAGGAATCGATCTATGTAAGAAAGTCACGGGAAAAAGTCAAAATTTTCCCAAGTCCTAGGAAATGTCACTGGAAATAAAGTCCTGGGATTTAGATTCCTGGGACTTTTCCCCCCTAAATTACAGGAAGAAAATAAATGTGAAGAAAACAAAACCAAGAATAAAAGTCCTAAGTCTTGGGATAATGAGGTCAATTCTTTGACGTTTAAAAAAAGGACTTTTCTTCCACGCATCTGTATATTGTTTATAGCCAGGTGTGTTTTTAAATCAAGCCTCTTTTTTATAATTGTGAACATCCTTTTTTAAATGCATTTTTTACTAGAAGAGGACTATTTTCTGGGGATATTTTTTTTAGAAGTCCTGGAAAGAATAACAGGACTTTATTTCCAAAGATTTTTTATTTCAAGAACTTTTTTACAGACCTTTTTTGTGCCAAGTTCTAGGACTTTATTTCGGAACATATTTTTTCCGTGAGCTTTTTTGGCGGTTACCGTACAGTTTTCAGTACACAATACGATACAAAAAACAATTTATGTTATTTAAACTTTATTCATATTTACTTTTTGTTGAATATTTAACTCAATTTGAGTTTATCTCGTAACATGAAGAGTTTATTAAAATTGGAACTCACAATGGGCCGATTCATTGAGTGAAATGTGGAAAAGAGCCATTTTAATGACATTAACCATTAAAATATATACATGAACATGGATTATGGAAAGGAAAAAATATTAAAAGAAACAAGAATCTTTGTTTACAAAAAAGTGTACTTCAGTATACGGGAAGAATATTGACAAGAGTGCAAAACTTAAGAAAATTATAAAACTCGCTACGATACCCGGTTTCCTGAAACCCGGGTTTGGCAGAGTTCGGGTTTAATGTACTTAAAACGTATTTTGAAACTCTAGGAAACTGGGTTAAAATATGCTGTCGTTGGAGTCTCCAGCTGTGGTGTTTTATGAATAAAGCTGCTACGCACTTGAAAGTGATCAAATTGGTATCCGTTTTTTGGCGTAATAGTCGGCCCATCCAAGGAAAAAATTAAATTTACACTCTTATAATGTCCAGAAAGGTGGAGCTACAGATTTTTTTTTAAATATCTGTAGTTGTGTGATGTCATCAGATACATTTGTGAATTTGCTGAGACTTTCTTTTAGTTTAAAGAATATTTTTGGTACTTATTAAACTTAAAAAAGTTTTTTTTTGCACAAGGATCTCATTAAAAAAAAATTTCTAAGGCTACAATTTTTTTTTCTGTTGCATTCTAAATTTTTACAATATCACTAAGATTTTTAAGCAAAAGTGATTTACAGGACTTTTTGAAAAAAACTATTTTTATGTATTAGGTAGATTAATGTTAATTTTTCTTCAACAGTCTATTGATATTATTATTCTTACTCGGGCTATATAATTTATAACTAGATTTTAGAAACTTATGAAAACAATTTCTGTTATATGGGACTAGGGGGGGGGGGGTAACCCCCTGGTTACGGGGCTGCTAGCAGATAAACTTAAATAAATTACTGTATTCACTTTTAACAGAAAAATGTTTTTAAGTTCGATTTGACTGTACTCTATTCAATATCGAGTCTATAGAGAGAGAGATCTTAACTGATCAAGTATTTGGAACATAAATGAAGCCATTTAAAGCATAAATACGAAGAAATGGTGCTTCATATGTTCCACAATCACTACGAAACTCACTTTCCCAGCCGTAACCCCTATACAAGGGTTTCATTTTGAGGTATTGCCCCGTGGCCGTAACATTCTGAGTTTCCGGAGTTTCCCGAAACCCTTACGAAACTCAAACCCAGACTTAAGAGAGCTAACCCGGTTTCGAGGCCAGGTTTGGTTTGGGATACCCGGTAAATTTCTTTTAAGTTTTGCCCTCTGTGTAGAGTGGACCTAGCACGTTTTATGCAACAAATGTAGCTGCAGTGCAGGCTAATTTGCTTATATTCTCTGTTGAACACTGTCCGTGTAGGAACAATGTAGGGAAACCAAACCTTGGCCGCTTAATATATTAGATTCAAATCTGATTGAAAGATAATTAGGACGCACCTAGTCGGAGACAAGAATTACTAAGCATACATTTTAATGTTATTAAAAAGTTTCTGATGTATTTTCTAGTATTTAATTAAATACTTTATGTTGAATACAATAGGATGTTTCACTTTCCATTGAAGAATTTAATTATACTTATGAATCATACAGGGTTACCCACAAAGAAAGATGCAGTAAAGACGACCTGAAACTCTTGAAACAAACCGATAACATGATCGAATTAACTCTACTGCCTTGGATTAATAAATATAGTCTTTTAATGACTTATTTAATTATTGAACAAAGAAAGAAGCAAGTTTACAATTTCATGAAATCATAAATATAAATTAACAGAAAGTACAAATTCCAAACTGTTGTCTTTAAATTCTCATATTTGTCTGAAACCCTGTAGATTAAGCCGTCTAGAATAAAGGATATTCAGAGCAATATGTAGAATTCATAAAACTTTATTTTACCGCCTTTTGACCAACATTACCGACTCGTGATTCCCCCAAAAGAAAGTTCGTCCCTAGGGACAGTTATGTACAAAAAACCGCCTGCTCTGCGAAATTTGTCAAGAAAAAAATCACGCATTTTCATATTAAAAGACGATAAGATTGTGTACAACTACTCTTTCGGGAAATTAAAAAATTTACTTAACCACGGGTTATTTCGATCAATTTTGTCTAAAAAACATCCCTCGCTGCGCTCTGGATGTTTTGTGGGGAAAATTGGTCTTGGGAACTATTTGTAAAGTAAAATTCCTTTAATAGATCCTGGTTAAAGGTCTCGTGAGTCTTAACTTTAGAATACAATTTCACCTATTGAATTTAGACTTTTTTGTTATTTTAAACTTTTTTGTTGGGCTATGTATTCAAATCTTTATGTACTAAAGGTATGTTTCCTTATTTTTGATTGATTTTTTTAAAGAGCTCAAAATATGACTGAATTTCATTATAGTCAGTCTGTACTTTGTTTTATGTGATCCCAGAGACAAATGTATTAAATGTATAAAATGTATTAAATGTATTACCTTCTGTTACAGCATAACGAAGTCTCTGTAGTCTACTCTTGGGAAACTTATCTATGGTTTCCCACTTGACTTGGTTTATAGATCCTCCTACATTCAATATCACAGTTCCTCCTGGTACAGCTCGTTCAACTCCTAGATAAATAATATACAATATATCTTATAGATCCTCCTACATTCAATATCACAGTTCCTCCTGGTACAGCTCGTTCAACTCCTAGATAAATAATATACAATATATCTTATAGATCCTCCTACATTCAATATCACAGTTCCTCCTGGTACAGCTCGTTCAACTCCTAGATAAATAATATACAATATATCTTATAGATCCTCCTACATTCAATATCACAGTTCCTCCTGGTACAGCTCGTTCAACTCCTAGATAAATAATATACAATATATCTTATAGATCCTCCTACATTCAATATCACAGTTCCTCCTTATATATATATTTATATAATAATATATCTTGCATCTTACATATATTTAGAAACATAACAACGCTCTAGGTTTTACTCACTCCATATAGTTCACAAATAATTCATACTCATGCATATACAACATTACAGATTTATTCTACATAGATTTGACATACTATATAGAAGATACACTCCATAGATTTTGAATACTCCATAGATAATAAGCAACACTCTCCATAGTAGATACAGAACACTCTCTATAGAGTTTACATACTCCAATAAAAGATAAAGAACACTCTCTATAGAGTGTACATACTCCATAGAATTTACAGAACACTCTACGTAGGTCGTAGAGTTTACATCCTCAATAGATAATAGAGATTACATTCTCATAAATGATACAGAACACTCTCCATATAGTTTACATACTCCATAGATAATAGAGTATGCAAAAACAGACAGAAAAACAGAACCCTCTCCACAGAGTGTACAATGTACATACTCAAAAGGATATACGGAACACTCTCCATAGAGTTTACATACTCCTTAGATGATAGAGAACAATCCTCCATGGAAGATACACAACACTCTACATATAAGATACAGAACACTCGCCGTATGCAGGTTTTATGCTCCGTAGAAAATACAGAACATTTTCTAATAAGTTTACACTATTATACATACTTAAGATTTACATACTCCACTTTACAGAACTCCGTATTGTATCATACTCCATAGAATTATATTAACCAGAGGAATATAAACTACTCCCCTGTCGCTTGCATGCATAATCAATCAAAAGAATATTAAGCGATCATATCAAAGTTTGGGGGGGGGGGGGGAAATGTTTAAAAACCTAAATTAATTTTTTTAATATTTTTAAACTTAAACATATAAAACTTATAAATAAATATGCATCAGTTTAAAGATCAAAGGAAGAATTTAATGTTTAGAATCCAGCATTATTCATGAAACATATACATGCATTCTCTTTAAGCATCGTCTTCATGCATCCCCTTCGTGTATTCTTATCATGCATCCTGTTCATGCATCCTGGTCATGCTTCCTCTTCAAATGTTCTCTTTAACTCATCCTGTTCATGCATCCCAACATGCTTGCTCTTCAAGCATTCTCTTTATGCATCCTGTTCATGCTTCCTCGACTTCAAATGTTCTCTACATTCATGCTCTTCATGCATCCCAATATTCATTCTGTTCAAGCATCCTTTTCATGCATCCTCGTCAAGCATCTTCATCCTGTATTCTCTTCATGTCTTCTCTTCATGTATTCTCTTCATGTATTTTCTTCATGTCTTCTCTTCGTGTCTTCTCTTCATCTATTCTCTTCATGTATTCTCATCATGCATTCTCTTCATGCATCCTCTGCAAATATTCTCTTCGTATATTCTCTTCATGCATCCTCTTCACAGATCCTCTTCTTGCTACCTCTTCATGCATTCTCTTCATGCATCCTCTTCATGTATTCTCTGCTTGCATCCTCTTCATGCATCCTCTTCAAGCTTTTTATTCAACCATTCTCTGCATGCATCCTCTTCATGCATTCTCTTCAAGCATCCTCTTCATGTATTCTCTGCTTGCATCCTCTTCATGCATCCTCTTCATGTATTCTCTTCAAGCATTCTCTTCATGTATTCTCTGCTTGCATCCTCTATCCTCTTCATGTATTCTCTTCAAGCATCCTCTTCATGTATTCTCTGCATGCATCCTCTTCATGTATTCTCTTCAAGCATTCTCTTCATGTATTCTCTGCTTGCATCCTCTTCATGCATCCTCTTCATGTATTCTCTTCAAGCATCCTCTTCATGTATTCTCTGCATGCATCCTCTTCATGTATTCTCTTTAAGCATCCTCTTCATGTATTCTCTTCATGAATTCTCTTCAAGGATCCTCTTCATGTATTCTCTTCATGTATCCACTTCATATTCTCTTCAAGCATCCTCTTCATGTATTCTCTGCATGCATCCTCTTCATGTATTCTCTTCAAGCATCCTCTTCATGTATTCTCTGCTTGCATCCTCTTCATGCATCCTCTTCATGTATTCTCTTCAAGGATCCTTATTCTCTTCAAGCATCCTCTTCATGTATTCTCTGCATGCATCCTCTTCATGTATTCTCTTCAAGCATCCTCTTCATGTATTCTCTTTAAGCATCCTCTTCATGTATTTTCTTCATGTATTCTCTTCAAGGATCCTCTTCATGTATTCTCTTCATGTATCCTCTTCATGTATTCTCTGCATGTATCTTCTTCATATATTCTCTTCAAGCATCCTCTTCATGCATTCTCTGCATGCATCCTCTTCATGTAATCTCTTCAAGCATCCTCTTCATGCATTCTTTGCATGCATCCTCTTCATGTATTCTCTTCAAGCATCCTCTTCATGCATTCTCTGCATGCATCCTCTTCATGCATCCTCTTCATGCATCCAGTTCATGCATCCTCTTCAAGCATCCTCTTCATGTATTCTCTTCTTGCATCCTCTTCATGCATCCTCTTCATATATCCTCTTCATGCATCCTCTTCATGCATCCTCTTCATGCATCCTCTTCATGCATCCTCTTCATGCATCCTCTTCAAGCATCCTCTTCATATATTCTCTTCTTGCATCCTCTTCAAAATCACGAATTACAATAAAAAGTCTGAACCCACCTAACCAGGGTGGGTTGTTTCAATTGAGTTGAACAAAATTAGCTTACAAAACATTGAAGTTTTGGGTAAAACGCAGCAAATTGATTATTGCTAAAGGTTGTTTGAATATATGAGAATAGGAGTAAAGGTCTGTGGCACTTGGAGGGTGTGAGGACGGTCACCTAATATACTTAATAAAATACGGGTTGTAAATTATGCATGCAATGAGTTATCTTGTTTGGCCTCCTTGTGTGTTAGTGAATTGAGTTAATGAATAGATTTGGCTGGATCAGATAACGGTTTAGTATGCCGGAGAAAGTACTAGTCAGCAAGGATGGTTAGAGACAAGATTTTCTAGAATAATTAATACGCTTCTCACACTAGGGTTGTAAATGATTATATATAATAAGAAATAAAGTATTTATGATGGTGTATTTAAAATGTACATTATATAAATTTATTCAATAAGTAAAATTCTTTTTAAAAACGCTCCTCCTCCCTACAATTAGAGGACCGTTTTCTGCTCCAATGGTTTAAATTCATATTGTGTGTATTTTCATAAAAAGCCAAACATTTACAAAAAAAGTTTGAATCTATGTAATAAAGCTCTTCGCTCATACATATATATAGATATTTTAGCTATAGCTGGCAAAAAGGCTGGAACAAATTGGCTGACATTTTAAAGTGAAACCCATGGCTACCTTGGGGTGACAAAGGCAAAAAAATTAGATATATTTTTTTCAAAAATAGAAATATCGCGAAAAATAATCTCCAAATTTCATTTCAGCTAGTTTTTAATAAATCTGTAATTCCTGCAATAACGTTTTAACTTCTTTTTCTTTTTCAAATTTGCCGATAACTGACTTGCTCATTGGTTCTATTTTGGCGGGAAAACCTTTTTTCAATCTGTAAATAATTCCATTAGTATCCGTCTATTTAAACCATGGATTAGATATATCCTACTCAATTTATCTCTCTCACAGTTGTTGCAAGATTTGTTGAAAAATATATGTTTTGCCAATTTCTTCCTAAAACCTTACCCAAAAACAAGTCCTTTTTGTTCTAAAATCGTATTGTTTAAGGCTACAAAAAAGTGAATTAGTGCGGTGAAATCAAAGGCCAAGACAATGAATCAAAGGTTACGTATAGGAGACGTAATTGCAAAAACATATACAATTTATAGCTTTCTTACCCAAAATCACAACGGATTCAGGATAATCTAGATACATAAATAGTTTCTAACAAGTTTTATTCAAATATTTGGGGGCGTCGCAAGCGTGCCCAAGTATATGTATTGTCTCTGATTCATGTCTATAATACCCATTTCGAGAGTTTTCATGGAAATTACCAATTTTCCGTCAGATTTAGAACTTCAACTTAATATTACAACGACCTAGAAACTTCTCTCAAAAAGAATTTTTCTTAAGCGACTGATCGCCTTTTGTTACTTAAAGAAAAGGTTTATGATGTAAACTCAATATTTCTGACCCCCACCCCTGAAACCACATTGCGCCCCCCACCCATGAGAAGTTAAAGTCAAATCTATCATTTTAGTGTTTAAAATTTAAATAACTTTCAAAATAATTTTCAGATTCATGACCACGGAGGAATACAGCGTTACCCACAAAGGATGAGACTGCAAAGACAACCGAAAACTACTAAAATATGACAAACCCTAGTTTAAATCAAGTCTTGTACCTTAAATATAATATTTTAATGGCTTATTTAATGATTTGACAAAGAAAGAACAGTCTACAGTTGTATAGGGAACTATAAATATAAAGAAACAGATAGTATAATTTCACTACAGTCTCCTCTTAAGTTTCATCCTTTGCGGGTAACCCTGTATATAGAAAGAATAGAGATTATTTTATTCCTAGCTTTGATAGTTAAAAATATACAAGCTTTTATGGTTAAAAATAGAAGATTAAAATATAAAAGCTTTGATGGTTAAACTGCAATTCCATTAACCCTATCTAAACCAGCTGGCATATTTTGACATATATTTCATTTTAGAGATAATCTTTTTCTATATAAGGAGTCCAAACTTCCAAGGCCCAAAAGGTTAGA